GCTGCCGTGGACCTCGTGTGCGAGGGAGGCCCCGTGGGATGCGTGTTCTCACAGCCCTTGCGTGGACGCCCAGGAGTGGGACCGCGCATGTCTGGGTGCGTGCACATTTGAGCAAGGCCGGCTGACGGTTTCCCAGAGTGGCCACCAGCAATCGAGACAGCTACCCCAGAGCCTGGCCAGCGCTTGGCTGCGCACTGCGCCCTTGTTAACTTCCCGGTTTGAAGAGGCGTCCCCGTGTGCATCACTTTTTGTTTTTTAAATGACTAACATTTTTTTTAAGACTTGCTGATACCTTGTGGAAACTCAGTGGATCACCTGCATTTGGGCTTATTTATGGAACTTCTCTTCTGTTTCGATGTCTGCCTATCCCCACGCCGGCTCTGCACTGCCTGAATTGTGGCTTTGTGCTGAGTCTTGATACCACGCAGTGTTCGCCTTCTGACTTTGTTCTGGTCCAGTAAAAAAAAAAAAAAAAAAGCTATTCTATGTCTTTTTCGTTTTCATGTACGTTTTGGGATCCTGTCAACTTCGCAAAAGGGAAGAAAAGCCTGCTGGGATTGGGATGGCACCGAACCTGTAAATCTATTCAGTACACCAGGCCACCTATATGGCTTTTCTTTTTATTTTATTTTTTAGATTTATTTATTTATTTGAAAGTCAAAACTACAGAGAGAGAGGGAGAGACAGAGAGAAGCATCTTCCATCTGCTGGGTCACTCCCCGAATGGTCACAACGTCCCGGGCTGGCCCAGCCTGCAGCAGGAGCCAGGAGCTTCTTCCGGGTCTCCCACATGGGTGCAGGGGCCCAAGCATCTGGGTCATCCTCTACTGCCCGTCCAGGCACATTAGCAGGGAGCTGGCCCAGAAGTGGAGCAGCAGGGACTCCCACACACACCCCTGGGTGATATGGGCGCTGTGGGTGCTGGCTCACCCGCTGTGCCAACCCCAAGTCTGTCTGTCTGTCTTTACACCCACTTGACTTTCTCTTAGCAACATCTTCATGTCAGTGTACATGGCATACACATATCTTGATCATTCATTCTTCAGTGTTTCAGCTTTTAAATGCCTCTATAAAAGTTTATTTATTTGAAAGGCAGAGTAACAGAAACACAGAGAAAGGGGAAGAGAGAGGGAGAAAGAGAGAGAAAGAGAGAAAAAGAGAAAGAGAGAGAGAGAGTTCTGTCTGCTGGTTTGCCCCTAAATTCCCACAACAACCAATGTTGGGGAAGCTAAAAGCCAGGAGCCCAGAACTCCATCCAGGTGTCCACACAGGTGGCAGGGACCCAGGTTCAACAGTCATCATCGCTGCTCCCCAGGGTGCACAATGGCAGGAAGCTGGATGGGAAGCAGTGTGGACATGGAGCCAGGCGCCCTGACACTCAGGGGGCAAGTGTCCCAAGTGGCCTGCTCACCACTGCACCACACTGCCTGCCAGCCCAGGCAATGCCGTTTCAACGCCAGTGTGACATTTGATGTCATTGAATTGTCATTTTTGCTTTTATTGCTAATGTTCTTAATATAATTATTCTTTATGAGAAGAACTTGAATTATGAATCCCAGGTACTTAATGTGTAGGTTCCTCAGGGTTTCTATTTCCCCTACAGTGAGTTTCTCAGTGAGTGTTTCTTATATTGTCAGACTGACAGGCATGAAGCTGCTTGCAACTCTCTATTCTCCTTTTCCTGCTGTGAGAATTGTTCTTATTCTAAATGATGATAATTTTGGTTTTCTTTCATTTCTTTCCTTGATAAACTAGTTAAAAATTGTGCTGTTTGGGGACAGCATTATGGCATAGTGGATTAAACCACCATCTACAAATCGGCATCCCATATGGGTGCCGGTTCAAGTCCCCACTGCTCCACTTCTCATCCGGCCCCCTGCTCACGTGCCTGGGAAAAGCAGTGGAGGATGGCCCAAGTGCTTGGGCCCCTGCATCCTTGTGGGAGACCCAGCAGAAGCTCCTGGCTCCTGGCTTTGACCTGGCACAGCCCCAGCTGTTGCAACCATTCGGGGAGTGAATCAGCAGATGGAAGATGTCTCCCCCACTCTTCTCCCTTTCTCTCTGTAACTCTGCCTTCCAAATAAGTGAAAAATCTTTTTTTTTTTTTTGACAGGCAGAGTTAGACAGTGAGAGAGAGACAGAGAGAAAGGTCTTCCATCCGTTGGTTCACCCCTAAATGGCCACTGGAGCCGGCGCCCATATGGGATGCTGGCGCTTCAGGCCAGGGCGTTAACCCGCTGTGCCACAGTGCAGGCCCCCTAATGCTCATATAACCACCCCCTGCCTCTAACTTGGTTTTTTGTTTGTTTGTTTGTTTGTAGATTTATTTGAAAGGTGCATTAGCAGGAAGCCAGATCAGAAGTGGAGCTGCTGGGACTCCAAGAGGTACCAACTCTTAACAGCAGAATTTAAACACAAAAAGGTATTTCAAGGCCGGCGCCATGGCTCACTAGGCTAATCCCCGCCTGCGGCGCCAGCACTCCGGGTTCGTGTCTGGATAGGGGTGCCGGTTCTGTCCTGGTTGCTCCTCTTCCAGTCCAGCTCTCTGCTATGGCCTGGGAAAGCAGTAGAAGATGGCCCAAGTCCTTGGGCCCTTGCACCAGCATGGGAGACCCAGAAGAAGCTCCTGGTTCCTGGCTTCGGATCTGCACAGCTCTGGCCATTGCGGGCAATTGGAGAGTGAACCATCGGATGGAAGACCTCTCTCTCTCTCGGCCTCTCCTCTCTCTGTGAAACTCTGACTTTCAAATAAATAAATAAATCTTTAAAAAGAAAATGCTCATTAGGAGGTGCTTATACCAGAGGATCTGGGTTTGACTCCAGTTCCAAATCGTGGCTCCCGCTCCTGCCAGTGCAGACCCTGGGAAGCAGAGCTGATGGCTCAAGTGATTGGGTTCCTGCTGCCTGCATGGGAGACCTGGGTTGAGTTTCAGGCTCCCAGCTTCATTGTGGGCATCTGTGGAGTGAATCAGGGGACAGGAGCTCACTTGATCACTCGCTCCAACTCTCAGAAAATAAATTTAAAAATTTACAAGAGAAAACCAAGAATAGTAATTAACAATAAAAAAATTAGGGGCTGGCATTGTGACACAGCCGGTTAAGCTGCCACCTGTGACGCTGGCATCTGACATTAGCGTCAGTTCAAGTCCGGATGCATCTCTTCTGATCCAGCTCCCTGTGGCGCACCTGGGAGAGCAGTGGAAGATGGCCTCTGTCGCCGTGTGGGAGACCCAGATGGAGTCCCAGCTGCCTGGCTCAGCTTGGCCCAGCCCTGGCTGTTGGGGACATTTGGGGAGTGAACCAGCAGATGGAAGCTCTCTCTCTCTTTCCCTCTGTCACTATTTCAAATAGATGAATACACAAATCTTAAAAAAAAAAAAAAGGTTGGGATGACTTTCTAAGCACAAACAAAATTGAAAGCATCACTGATCTGTCATACATACCAAGTTATTGTGCACAGGTTTGCGGGGGGTGAGGGGGTTGGTAAGCCTTCCTTGGACAAGGCCCCTAAGGCTTGCTCAATTTTGCCGCACTTCCGCATCCCAGAGACTCAGTGTTTCCAACAATCCAAGATGGCCCCCAGGGGCGGTACCAAGCCTCACAGCAGACTTCCACACTTGTGAACTGTATATGTCCTCGGCTGTGATAGGCCCTTGAGGGCGTGCCCGGCTCATGTCCTGCCTTACCTTGCAGCTAGCTGGTTGGCTCGGTTCCCTTGTGCCCTGGACAGCCCCCTTTCTGTGTCTATAAAAGCTCTTCCCCTCCCAATAAAGTGGAGAAGCCAGCTGCGCCCTGGGCGTCAACGCATCTCCCGGCTCTGGTGTGGTTCCTTTGCTGGCCACGCTCATCATCCCGCTGGGCCCCAGAGCTCCCCAGGCTGGCCCTGCGGAGATCTATCGGGCCTGCTGCCCCGTGATGAGCAGCACAGGTTAAAAACTCCATACACACAAATCATTCCTTTTAAAATCTATATTTATTTTCATTGTATTTGAAAGGCAGAGTGAGAGACAGAGGTCTTCCATGTGTCGGGTCACTGCTCAGATGCCCACAGCAGCCAGGCCGTGCAATGCAGGCCCCCAGCAAGCTGGCAGGAGCCCCAGCAGTTCAGCCACCTCCACAGTGCACAGGGCAGGAAGCTGCATACAAAGTGGAGTTGCTGGGACTTGAACTCCAGCAGCATGAGTCCCTAACAGCAGTCTAAACACTGCACCACCCACCCACCCGATCCACAAGTTTAAGCTAAAGCCAAAACATTATCAGTTACTTTAGTCTTTTTTTTTTTTTTTTGGAAAAAAGTTATTTTATTCATTTGAAAGGCCGAGTTGCAGAGACAGTGAGAGGAAGAATGAGAGTGACAGACAGAGAATCTTCCATCTGCTGGCTCACTCCCCAAGTGGCCAAAGTGGTCAGGAGCCAGGAGCTCCATCCCTGGCTCCCACGTGGGTGCAGGGGCCCAAGTACCAGCGCCATCCTCCGCAGCCCTCCCAGGCCTGGAGGCTGGACCGGAAGGGGAGCAGCCTAGGGGGTGCCAGTGTCACAGGCGGCAGCTTCAGCCTCCCAGCCACAACGCAGGCCCCTCTTTTATTTTCTTTATAAATAATTACAGATAAGCTTAGCTTTCTAAAGCTACCTTCCAAGGAGATAGCTTCTACCAGGGATGACACTGCCCCCTAGAGGACATTTGGAAACTTGCAGGTGCGCGCCTGAGGCACACAGATGGGGAGAGAAGCCAGCCTGTCTGTTTTTAATCAGAGTTATTGTCGGTGAGAAGTTAAAAAAAAAAAAAAAAGTGTGAGTGACACAGCCGCAGGTCGGCCAGCGCGGGGAAAGCCCTGGCCCCCGACCGTCGCAGCCGCGCCAACGGTTGTCCTCGGGTCAGAAGAGCCCTGTTCTTCCCCGCAGGTTCCCCACGCGCGACGGAAGCTCCCCCCACCCCAACCCACCCCCCCACCCACCCGCCACCAGGGCAGGTGTGGCAGTCGGGCGGAGACTGGGGTGCAGTTGGCCAGTGGGGGATGGCGGGACAGGCGAGCAGAGGACTGGAGTTGGGGGCGGGACAGGGCGGTGCCCCGGGTTGCTCCCTGGTTATAAAGCCCCGTGGCCATCCTCGAGTCCTAGCCAGGTCTGCTGGACGACGGCCTCGCGATGGTGGGTGAGTCTTGTCCCCACCCTGGGGGGGGGCGGTCCGCGGGGTTCTGCATCAGCGACTCGCTGACCCCTCCCTCCCCGCCCATTCCCTGCCCTGTCTCCACCCAGGAATGCTGGTGGGCGCTGTCGTGGCCGGGAGTGAGTGACCTGCATGCCCACAGTCGCGAGGCCTTCAGCTGGGACTTTGGGGGACCTTAGAGACGCGGCACGGGTGGGGTCCACAAGGCTGGCTCCCCCTCCCCAGCTGCTGGGGTTGGGGGCGGCCTGGGCTGGTGGGCGGGACTCTGTGGAGAAGCAGACACGGGGTGGGTGGGGAGGGTGGGGGGCGGGGAGGACAGGGAGGACAGGGAGCAGACAGGACCACCTGCAAATAGAGTGGCCTGTTCCAGCCTCAGGAGGGCGGTGACTTCCCCAGCATGGCACAGCGCGCGAGACCCCTGGTCCTCGCCTGGCCCCTTCCCCTCCTCTGCCCCTCTTCTTTATCTTGGGAACCCCCTCCAAGCTGCAGCCTCCAGGAGCAGCCAGGAGGTTCTCAGGGGCTACATCAAGATGAACGACCCCCATCCCGCCCTCTCCCTCGCAGCTGTGGCGGTGGGGGCTGTGCCCGTGGTCCTGGGCGCCTTGGGCTTCACTTCCGCGGGGATCGCCGCCGGCTCCGTAGCGGCCAAAATGATGTCCGCAGCAGCTGTGGCCAATGGGGGCGGAGTGGCCGCGGGCAGCGTGGTGGCCACTCTGCAGTCCGTGGGTAAGTGGCCTTGTCCTGTCCCTGCAGTGCCCCAACCCTCAGCATCCTGCCTCTACTGCCAGGTTCTCTGGCTCCTCCTGAGTGTGGGAGTAGCTGGTGCCAGGTGCGGGGGAGGGGGAGGGGGGCCCCTAGGAGCATGATGCCTGGGCTGGGGTCAGCCCTGCTGGGCTCTGACACCTGGGTGGCCTGGGCAGGTCCCCCTCACCCAGCCTCAGAGGTGAGGGAACCCCCTCGTCTCTCAGTGCCCATCCTCCACTCACCCTTTCAACCCTCCAGCGAGCATCCTTTGCCCAAAACAGAGCCTTGAGATGGGGGTCGTGGGGAGGGGTGGTCTCAGGACAGGAGGAGGAATCCGGGTGGGATCTCGGGGTCTCAGCCTAGCTCTCTGGGGCTCACGCTCTGTTTTCCCCAGGGGCCGCTGGACTCGCCATGTCATCCAAAGTCCTCCTCGGCACTGTTGGGTCGGCTTTTGGCGCCTTGGTAACATTCAAGAAGACACCCCCTTCGTCCTCAGCTGAACCCAAGTGAAAGTGGACCCCCAGGAACTCCCTCCCCGCCCCACTAGTCAGAAACATGCTGAATAGATTCATGTGCAAACGCATCTCCTGGCTTCACTTCCTGTGACTCTGGTGGCAGTTGTGAGCTGTGGATTTCGTCTCCTCCTCCTCCCAGAGGGACAGGGGAGATGGCAGGTGGACCAGGCACAGAAGCAGCCGGTGGGACACTTTGCTGGGTACCAGGTTTACAGGGAGAGGCCCAATGGCCCGGGGCTGTTCACGGCCTCTCATTCAGTGTGGGAGGTGATAGAGGGTCCCGGTGGGAGGCAGGGTGAGCAGTCGCCACTGGCCCCAGAGTCCCCATCCTTCCCTGTGAAATGGCACCAGATGCCCGGGGTGAGCCAGACACTGCCCTATCCGTGCCAGACCTCAAGTCTCACCAGCAGGCGACCAGGCAAAGCACCCAGAAAATGCAGCGTGCCGAGTGCTGTTGGGCTCTGGGCATTGCAGGCACTGGAGCCGGACTCGGGCACAGTCACCACGCAGGCTGAGTTTGTACACGAAGCTCTGAAACCCTGCCTCTGCCCTCAGCTAAAGAGCCAGTCCTGGTGCACACGACAGACGCTGCACTAGACAGGAAGGGTCCACACTGCCCCCAGGTTACAGGGTCAGCAAGAACTGGGTGCTTACTCAGGCAGGTGCAATGTGCAACATCATTTTTGGGGCAGGGACGGGCGCCAGACAGAGCTGAGAGCACAGTGGAGGCAGGCATGTGTTCTCACAGGGGATATCTGAGGAGGCTTCCCAGAGGAGGTGGCGGGTGGGCAGGCCATTCAAAGGCAGGTGAAAGTCTCACAGAGGAGGATGGTGACAGAGGGAAAGGTGTCTGGGGAGAGCAGGTGCCAGCCGCCAGGCAGAAGTGGCGGAGAAAGACGGGGAATTAGGGGTTCCTGTGGCAGCGCAGGTGGAAAGCAGATCCCTGTCAGAAGCCGGCTGGAGGAAGGGGCCATGTAGGCTGCCATGGAAGGGACCCCCAGGCGTGGGGTCCTGCGGGGGAGGTGGGTCCATACCTGACCGACCCCGGCCACCTTTGGCTCCATCCATTTGCAATCTCTCGCGCTGAGCTCCATAGGTTGCTGCTGCTGCTGTAATTTCGTAGGACAGAGAACAGGGCCGCGTACCCCAGAGAGGATGAAGGCTTTCCACCCCAGAGCTGCTCCCAGAGGGCTGTGGGGGCTCGGGGTGGGGCAGCCCTTTCCCTGCAGCCCCAGACAGGCCGAGGCCTGCTCAGCCCTGCTGCCCCCTCTGCTCACAGCCGTCTACCCACAAACCCTGCTGCCTCACCCTGCTCTGGGGGTGGAGGTGTGGCATGGTGGTCAGAGCCCCACTTGATAAGGGAACATGAGGGTGCTTGCATTCCAGTCTGGGCTCTGCTCCGGGTTCCAGCTTCCTGCTCATGCACTTTCTGGGAGGCAGCAGGGACGAACCATCTTTCTCTTGGCTTTTTGCACAACAGTGTGGTCAAAGGTTCCCTCCGGTGGCCATCCAGCATCAAAGGCTGGCCACTCTGACCTGCAAAAAGTCACGAGTTTGCCCTTTCGGACTTCCTCACTCAAATTGGAGCCCCTAGTCTTTACATCCTTGAAGTGGTCCAATAGGATGCTAAGAGGGGTGGCCTGTGTCTGTTCCATTGTGGACCAAAAAAGAGCTGTAGTTGGGAAGGAGTTGTTAAAAGAGGAAGAGAAGTTCTATCAAATAGAGAGGTAAAACAGGAAACTCCCGAAATTAGCAGCCCTGAATTGAAAGCTTTCAGTGAAACACGTAACTACACTCACATACACAAACACAAATCACACGTGCTGTTGGGCTATCCCGGCCCGACCAGATGGACTATAATTCATACAGATAGTCCCAGATGGAGTCCGAGGAACCTCTTCCTGCGGCCCCACCGACAGTCCTATAGCGCGCCTGCCAGGACTATTTGTCTGCCCAGATACAGAACCTATGGACAATTCCAGTACAACAGCAGACAATACAGAGACAATGCCGGCAGACTTACCCGCACCGGTCCTTCTGCGACCCCTCGACCCGGAGTCTTGGTGGGCTCTGGGGCCAATCCAAGACGAGCCCCGAAATGAAGTGCCTGATGATCGACTAGCCCCAAGAATCAGAGACCACCAGAGTCCAAAGCCAAAACAAATTGCAGGGTTGTTTATTACAAGTTCAAACTCGGACCCTCCCTGCCTTCTTGAGAAATTCAGCTTTTAGCTCTCTGACTTCCCAGATCATGTAACAACGTAGTTTCAGTTTGGTGATATGCAGCTTTAGCCTGAGTGACTCCATTTTGGTTTTCAGCCTGGTGTGTTGGGACCCAGGGCAAGAGCTTAGACCAGAACAGTGGCATCCTGTAGTCTTCGTGTAACTCAAATGTGGGATTAGGGCTCCATGCCATTTGTCATCTAATCCAAAATGTTTTGTGCTATAGATCGGGGGTGCGGAGGAGGGGCGCTGTCCTTGGCACTCCAAGATCAGGACAAGGAGGATTGTGGGTTCCTGCTATCCAGGAAGGAAGCACTCCTGGCCCTGGAATGTACGAGAATTCCATTTCCCTGAAGAAGACTGCGCATGCTCACATCAGCAAGGCACAGGTGCACTTTGACTGGCACCTGGCGTGGATGAATTTGTCTTCCCAGAGATGACCGTGGCTTACTGGTTTCCTTTGCTCTTGCAGATTGAACTTGCTCCACAGTGGGACGGTTTTGCCATCTGGAGCCGGGCCCCTGAGCAGCGTCACCCCCTCAGGCCGCAGGGACCATCCACAAACTCAGTCTGAGCCTCCCCAAGGCGGGCAGTGAGGCAGGGGAGGGAGCAGAGGAACTCCCTGCCCTGTGCTCCTCCTTGCTTGCACCCAGGGCTGCTGCCGCTCTGATCGGCTGTGAGCAGAGGTTCAAGCCCAGGCCCGCGTCCTCGGGAACAAGTGGCCTGGCCCCAGCTCAGCTCCCCTTGAGCGCTGACCTGGGCTGGGTGAGTTGAGGTGGGCAGGGGTGCAGTGCATGAACAGAACCTCGGGCTTCCGGAGCCCAAGCTAAGTCATCAGCGTGAGAGGCTGCGGGCTCTGCGGGTTTGGGAGCATCTGGAAGTAGCCCCCACACGGCCTGATTGGTGCCACGCAGTGGCTCAGAGCGCTGCCCGTGTTACGCTCCCTTCCGAGAAAGCAGGTGGGCCCATGTTGCCACTGGGAGGACACCAGAGCCTTAGACACCTCGGTCAGCCTGTGAGTGCCCTCGGGGTCCTGTGGCCCAGCAGCGACAGGGTCTGGGTTCCGGTTGCTGACTTGCCCTGTGCCCACCCGGATGCCTTCCTGGGCTTCAGCCTCTCCCGCTGCGGGGTGAGATGGGGACCTGCCAGCCCCCAGCTGCTGCCTGGGTCTAAGCCTTCCTTTCCCTTCTCGGCAGGGCTGCGCCTGGCCCCACTCCCCATAGCAGGGTTCCTGGGAGCTTGAGGAATGCAGGAGAGTCCCCGGAGGGCCTGGGGGTTGCCTCCCCTCCTGCAGACCCGGGGCCTCTGCCCCCACAGCGGCCAATGTGCCGTGTGCTCCCCTTTCCACTTCCAGAGGAAGGACTGTCCCCGCCACCACCAAGCGTGACCAAGGCCTTGGCTGGTCCACCTCTGTGGGGAGCCTGTGGCCAAACAGACCCGGCTGCGACCCCTCCAGGCCAGCAGGGGTCTCTCCACAGGGCAGGTAGTGGTCTGAGAAGCAGTTCTCCCAGGCCTCACCCACCCGACTGCACAGCTCAGCCTTCCGCACTGTCAGGTGAAGGTGCTGCCCCTGGTGGGGTTTCCCCCACACCCACATTGGGTGTGTACGATGGGAGAGGAGCGATTGCCCTCCTGGACTCTGGGCATTGATTGGTTCATTGCTAAGTGCAGGGCGGGATTAGGTCCCTGACCACCACCAGGTCCTATCCAATGGGGCGGCTCAGAGACCTTCACAGTGGCTTCCTGACCTGTGCAGAGGTCTGCTGGCTCAGGCTCCTGGCCAGCCAGGGGCCAAGGTTCAGGCCACTTCCCTGCCAGGGCCCTGAGCTGTTGGCCCCACGCCAGGGCCTGGGTGAGTTTCATTTCTTCGGGTGCTCCTCCCTTGCCGCCTCGGGAGCTGGTCAGTGAGGGCCTCCTCTTCCCGACACAGGGAGCTGGATCAGAAGAGACGCATCCGGACTTGAACTGATGCTTCCGGACTAGAACTGACGCTAATGTCGGATGCCAGCGTCACAGGTGGCAGCTTAACCGGCTGTGTCACAATGCCAGCCCCTAATTTTTTTTATTGTTAATTACTATTCTTGGTTTTCTCTTATAAATTTTTTAATTTATTATCTGAGAGTTGGAGCGAGTGATCAAGTGAGCTCCTGTCCCCTGTTTCACTCCCCAGATGCCCAGATCCGGGAACTGGAAAAGCCACATCTCACACAGGCTTCCCAGAAGAGGCCAACAGCAGAACAACAGCCTTACAAACACCCCTGCAAAGACCCTGCACAGGGGCTGGCGGGGGCGCACTAGGTTAATCCACTACCTGGTTTAGCGCTGGCTGGTGTGGCCATTTGGAGAATGAACCAGCAGATGGACAATTTCTCTCTCTCTTACTTCCTCTCTGTCACTGCACCTTTCGAATAAATAAAAATACCCTTTTTTGAAAGCCTGTCAGTTTGTGGAAATTTGTTACAGTAGCCCTAATATATCAAGTAGCGACCAAGGGAAGATTTTCCCCAAAAACATGAGAGGGGTAGAGGTCTGCCCCAGCTGTGAGGATGCCAGCTGGGACAGCTGCAGCCTCCATCAGAGTCCCCTGGGAGGCAGCAGGTGCCGGCTCAAGTAGTGAGGTTCCTGCCATTCGCATGGGAGACCTGGACTGGACTCCCAGGTCATGGTTTCAGCCTGACCCAGTCCCCGCTGTTGCAAGCACTCAGGAGCAAACCAACAGATGGGCGCTGTGTCCACCCCAATTAAACAAGCAGAGAAGAGAGGCAGCTGCTGCCCTTTGCTGTGTACAACAGAGCCCTTGAGCGGCCCCTGGCCAACACCAGCTCAGGTGCATGCGAGGATGCTG